TTGTTCCTAGTAGTAAGGCCAGGAGGTTGTAGTAGCTTCTTGTTCCTTCCAATCATCACGTCTCGAAGACCTATCACGTTCCTCTTCTTCCCTCAGCCGAGGTCCAAGAAGCGCGAAAGTCCCGGATCGGGCTCGCTCTCGAGGACACCCCGGTGCCAGGATCTGCGGTGGACTATGGTAGACCTTTCACTGGTTACATGGTCCTATAGTTTGTCATGTTTCCACACTCACCGGCTTTGAACGATTGTTCCCCAAATTGTTATTTTAGGCATTCCATTATCATTGTGATTTGTGATTTGCAGAGTCTTTTATTCTGCTTCCAGTGCGTTCGCCCTTTCACAAACGCTTATTTTTTTGCGTTTTTTCCTCCATGAGTCGTTTTGAAAGACTAAGCTGAACACATCCCACGCTTTTGAGGACCTGGACCCTCTTCAAAGTTTTCTACAACATTGGGAACACGGATACGATCAAAGTACAAATCTTTATGGAGGGTCCAGGTATGACCAGCACCATGTCCCTCTCCATCGTTGCCCTGCTCGACGCTCGATGCTCCTCCCCAAAACCACCACAAAACATTCTCCAGCACCACCCCGTTCGGGTGCTTCTTGGACTTGAACAAAGACCTCATGAAAGGGACGTTCCACCGGATTGGTCCCAGCAAACCACCCGTCCCTCCACACCTGCACACCCTCCCTCATCGTGCCGGCCCCCTAAAGCGGGGCTCTGCGCCGCCGTGACGTGCCGTGGAGGACCAAATCTGTCCTGAAAGTCGCTTGTGTTGCAGCCGGGGCACCCACTCACTCCACTCACTCACTCCACTCACTCCGGTCAAGAAAAAAAAAACCTCCGTTTGAGGGACCACCGGAACCGTCCGGCAAAGAGGACAGACCGGAAGGACCGGCCGGAAAGACGCGGGCCGCGGGTGTGCATCGTTGAGACAGACCGGAGACAGACCGGACGATGCGGACCCACGTGGTCAGAGCATCTCCCCCCAAAAAGGAAACACGTGTACCAGGACCCTCCTGTCGGGGTGCCCTGTCTGGAAGCCTATAGGTAGTGTGGGGTAGTTCATTGAACACCCCGACAGGAGGGTCCTGGTATTTGCTTTCTTTGGGATATGGCACGTCTGGCAAGCCACTGCCTGCCATGCAAAAGTTCACTGCACGGCCGTTGCGCCTGCGCACCGGCCGGGTTGTGTAGCGTCAGGTTGCAATTTTGTGGCAGGGTGCTGCACGGGCGTTGGTGCCCCAGCATACGAGTCTGTTCTTGGCGTGGGAGCTGAATCGAAGCATCGAAGCATCGAAGCATCGCATGTGTTGACATGTGCATTCAAAATCCGGGGGACCTCCCAAGCGTTCCGACCGGAACGATGAAATACACAAAAAAAAACATCAAAAACCCGGCTGAGGATCTCCCTATTTCAAGACACATAATCTCGATACGAGAATGCTTGTTGCAACATGGTGTGAACACCATCACGAGGTGGCAACGCCTGAAATCTATCGCTTGTTCGAGGACGACAGTCTTTGGGTGACGGAAAGATGTGTCGAACTGTCCAGAAATTCCTGAGGGCTAGGTGTCGCAGTGATTTCTAGCGCGTATGGCATCGAAGATTCACAGACACAAGCTTTGGTAAACTCTGAGATTTTTTTGGGATGTTCAAAGCTCTTCAAGTTCTGTGGCCTTTGAACGGTTTCCAAATTCAGAAGCATCTTCATTGTGATGGATCTTAGCGCCTTAGGGAGTCCTTGCGTCTTAGGGAGTCATTTGCCCGCTTTCTCTCTTCGTCGTTCCTTCGGTTTTTCAGGGGCACCGGCCCCTGGACGCGTGCTTCGCGGAGCTTCGAAAGACCTCCAGCCTGGATGTGGGTCACAGCTCTCAGCTCGGCCAGCTGGGGCACAGGAGCGTTGCGTTGGATTCTTTTTGGGTACGCAAGGCCCTTTGTTCCGTTCGTAGCGTCCTTGTTCCAGTTGTAAGGCCAGGAGCCCCGATCGTAGTGTCCTTGCTCCTATAGTTGTAAGGCCAGGAGCCCGATCGTAGCGTCCTTGCTCCTATATATTTCGATATGCTTCGATGTTTTGTGTTGCCGGGTGATGATGTTGCTGTATGACATCATACTCGGTAGCTAGACTATGCCTAGCTGTCTAACTGCTGCAAGAGCGCAACTCGTGGGACATGGCGATAGGGTCGCTACGCGGGTATGCACCGGTTAAATCCGGGATCTTCCCACTATGCCAAACTGATGCCTGCCTCATCTTTAAAATCAGCCAAGTTCGGCAGACATGTTGCATCGTTGGAAGATCTGTATCGAAAGAACAGGGAGCTGGAACTCGGAGCTACAGTAGGGAGTTCCCCAAGCGATCTCGTTGGATCCGGATCCGGAGGAAATCAGGAGTGTTCCCGGATGTGATCCCACCTGATGGACACCCCTCGGATTTCAGGGGATGCAGGTATTCCAAGAAGGGTTTGAGGTTTCAGCCAGTCTGCAGACCTTGGGGGCTTGAAGTGTCACTCCAGTTTTGGCCAGAGCTGCCTTTCTTCCTTTGCCGCGCTGTGGCAAAGGCTTTGGGACGTGGACCTTTCGATTGCTGGTGCCCTTGGCAGAATAATATCAGATGTGCCGTTTCTTTGGTGTGTACATTATACATATATATATATATTATGTTTTTTCTTTTTAACTGTATATATCTTAGATAGGGAGACCCCCCTGGCCCTGGTCTCTTTCTCTTTCTTCAAGGGGGCCAGAACACCTGTGAGGCCTCTCGATTTTTTCGCTCTGCATCCAATGTGACTCTTCACCAATCATGGTTTGGTATTCGGTCATTGGTCCTTTCGGGGCCATTGATGATGATGATGATGATGATGATGATGATGATGATGAGGAGGAGGAGGAGGAGGAGGATGAGGATGAGGATGATGATGATGATGATGAGGAGGAGGAGGAGGAGGATGAGGATGATGATGATGATGAGGAGGAGGAGGAGGATGAGGATGATGATGATGATGATGATGAGGAGGATGATGATGATGATCATCATCATCATCATCATTCCAGGGAGTGTAGCTGTGATTGATGACTCAACGATGTGAGCTTCAGCTGCTACGGAGGAGAGACGCATTCTGAATTGTGCCAGGTCCTGTCTTTGCTGACGGCTGGAATCTATATGTCTTTTTCAGAGGCGTCTGCAGTTGGAAGACACTGGACTGTCTCCAAAAACGACGGAATCCACAATCCAATAGCTTTCAACAGTGTTCTCTGTGACATCCTACTCCTTCTCAAGCGCTTTTCTCTTGCTGGCCCAGGTATGACATACCCAGAATGTGTCCTGTCAAAAGCTTCAAAGATTCCTCGGAGTATTCCTCATTTTTGCTTAGGGTGATTCTTGTTGTATGAGTGAATCCCTTGGCACGGGACATATGTCCTTTCCTTCAAGCAACTTGAAGAGTCCCGTTGCATCTCCGTCTCCAGGCCTTTCTTCATGTGTACCCTGTGATCAGCACGATGAGGGCGGCGTCAGCGAGGAGAGGAAGGCTTCGTCCGATGTCCGCGGGCCAGGTGAGCGAGGCCGGTTTGATGGCTGATTGGCTCATTGACCTACTTAGATGGCCAAGAAGCCCAAGCCCTCCGGACCAACAGTACTACTTGCAGGGGAAATTGTGCCCACTGCACTTGACTGATGATGGACAGTTCAGATGGCCTCCAACCCAATAGTCATGACATGCAATGACCCCGTGAATCGAGACTCCACAAAAGTGGTCCAGAATTAGACTGCCAGTGAGTCGAGTGAGTCGTGAACTGAAATCACACAACCCAAAATGCTCACACCTACAGGCAGTTCCCACTTCGTGGCACCTGTGTGCCTTGTTTGGGTTCCCACTTCCAACCGGGGACGTTGATCCCACCGGTGAGGTCAAAGAAAACGCCGCTCGGTCGCAGGATCACCAGCAGTGTGTCGGTCGCTCTGGCGATCACTGCGGCCATCATCAGCTCGGGACGCCCAGGTGATGAGGGAGGAACCAGTGTGTTCCATGGAGTTTCTTGTGCCGAGTTCGGTCGGACGTCGAGGTGGGCCGAACTGGGCCGAACTGGGCTTCCACATCCACAGCGGATGGGACGAGACAAACCATTCTGACATGGAACTGCTGGGAAGGTGTGAAAACTTGTTGCTTCGCCCATGTGATGGAGACCTATGTTGCAGGTGTTCGGATAGGGCACCCCCCCCCCACAAGAACCGACGGAACGTCAGTCCAGGCGTTGCTTTCTTTCCATACAAGCTGGGCAAGTCCTTGATTTATGCGACTTTGGCCTGGCGCCCCAGCCTAGTCCTTCGGAGGCTGCGCAGGTCGTGTCGACACCGGCGATGGCAACAGGACACAGGACTTTGTTCCGAGATGAACGAAACATTCAGGCAAGACGGCCAAATCCTTACGAACACCATTGGTTATTTATATTTGTAATCGTAGGTTGGAGTTGGAGGCCATCGCTTCTAGGGTTGAGGCCATCGCTAGTAGGTTGGAGGCCATCGCTTCTAGGGTTGGATGCCATCGCTAGTAGGTTGGAGGCCATCGCTTCTAGGGTTGGAGGGCCATCGCTATCAGGTTGGAGGCCATTGCTTCTAGGGTTGAGGCCATCGCTTGTAGGTTGGAGGCCATCGCTTCTAGGGTTGGATGCCATCGCTAGTAGGTTGGAGGCCATCGCTTCTAGGGTTGGAGGCCATCGCTATCAGGTTGGAGGCCATCGCTTCTAGGGTTGAGGC